TGAACGAATGGCTTTATCAAAAATTGCCCAAACAATAATGGTGGTATGGATTGTGGAGAGATAGGAACACTCATACAGCTGCTGATGGGACCGCAACTATACAAATCTGCTGCTGGAAAGTAATATGGAGATACGTCAAGTAGACTAACCCATTTAATCTAGGCAATCGCCCATTACTCGGGCATCTACGCCAAAAGGAAAAAAAAAAAAGACATCTGATTGTGAAAAACATCTGGACTCAATGTTTATCAGCAGCACAAAGTCACAATTGCAAAGAGTGGAAACAACCCAAGTGCTCCATCATATCCATGAGTGGATTAATAAAATGAGGCATCATGGCATACCATCATGGAGGTACTATTCAGGCTTATAAGAAACAATCGGTGACCTCTAGCACCTCTTGTGTTAATATAACTGGGTAGAAGCTAGAAGCGCATTCTACTTCTGCGGTAGAGCTAGAGCCCATTCTAGCTATGTGCGTATCCAGAATGGATTAAGCAGCACACATGTACCTGCCAATTGGTTTAACCTGATCACACTAGGTGGCACATATAGTAGTAATATTGTGTGTCAGGCCAGATGGAAGGGAGAGGAGGAGATGGGTGTGGTGTGCACGCATGTGGGAGATGGCCGTACTTTGAATCTGACTTGGTGAGGCAAAGGCAATATATGTAAGCCTAAGATTTGTCATTTGTCCCTGGCAATATGCTGAAGTGAAAAAATGAAAGGAGCTACGACGCCTGGCTGGCCTGCTTGTGCCAGCTTAGGATATAACTGTCATGTTGACTATCATCCAGAAAGGGAATGGCCTGCTGCCAACAGGACTTTGCTGCATACATGCACACCTAAGCTCTGCCCCAGCTATCCTGGTCATCCCCCAGCCTTAGTCTAAAACTAGACAAAGATTCATCCATCCAGAGCAATATGGGCAATGGGTGGCCTGCAAAACCCTGCCACATTATGGCAAAAGTCATTATTTCTTGATTCCTGTCTTCCCCGTGCCCATCACATATTCATTGGGGCATGGCTTAGGCCCCAGGCTGAGAGAAAACGCAATTTTAGTCAAAACCAGAAGCTCATGACAAAGCAATTTCTAATATGCATCATTCAGCTTTTGAAGATTAAACCCAGGAGGCAAGGGGGCTTGTGGCTTCTCCACAGGGAGGGTTTTAGACTTCACAAATATAGGAAAATAGAGCAGGAGTTTGAGACATGCCAGTCAGCCTTGTGGTACCGTGCCCACCGCGCACTACATCAACATAAGCTGCCAGGCACACAGGAGTGTGCGTGTTACTCCATGCCCACAGTTGGGTTGGGCCCTTAGAGTCTGTAGGAAGTTTTGCAGCCAGCATTTAGGGAGTTCAAACTGATGGTAGATAGAATGGCTGGGGCAGAGATGGCTGCAGAGATTCCACATGTTCACATGAATCCCAAACACAGGAAGTCTCACTATCGTCAAGCTGATGCACCATCCAGGTGTTGCTCATGGGGCTGCAAAGCCCTCCTTCAGTATGTCGCACTTTCTAATGCTTCATTTAGTTTTTTTCCAGAGAAAAGGCAGAGATAGGAAAAAAGTTTCTTTTTGCCTGCAGCCACCAGGCCTCAAATACTCTTATCCCAAGATTCACCTGACTGACAACTCATTATACCAGCATACTCTAGGAAAGTTTGTTCAGCCAACCAGCAGAAACCAGCATGTTACTTGGGTGGGGGAGGGTTTCTCTGGACCTCCTGGACGCACCCCCTCTGAACACGGGCTGTGTTGGTTAGTTTTAGGTGTCCG